TTGGACCACATGTAAATCTATCATATTCGCAACCACAACCACTGCCATCCCAGGAAGCACGTCAGAATATGGTTCCACCTGTTCCTTATCTACCACCTTCTAATTTAGTTAGACCACCTCTGGATTATGGATATGTTCCTCAAGCACATGGTGTTCATGCTATCATGGGTGCAGGCTTGCAGAATGTAATTCCTAATGTCCAGTCGTCTATGCCTGTTCCCAGTATTGTTAATGCATCATTGAGTTTACCAGGGGTATCCATGCCTCCTTTACAAGGTTCCCGTCCTGTGTCTTCCACAATGATACATATCACTCAAAATCCTGGGCCAGTAGGACCTAATCCTCCAGCTGGTGGTCCACTTTCTGGTCTGTTTAATACACTAATGGCCCAAGGGTTGATCTCTTTAACAAAAGAAGCTCCCATGCAGGTATATCTTGCTCTGCAGTATCATCAAAGGAGTTGATTTTGTTTTCAATTTTCCAATCTTGTTGAACTGTCTGTCATTCTAAATCGTGTCATTTGATGTACAGGATTCGATGGTCCTTGACTTCAATCAAGATACTCTTAGGGTGCGTCATGAATCAGCAATAAAAGCTCTATATGCTGACCTTCCCAGACAATGCACAGCTTGTGGTGTTCGCTTCAAATGCCAAGAGGCTCATAGCAGTCACATGGATTGGCATGTTAAAAGGAACCGCAAGTCTAAAAACAAGCAGAAGCCCTCTCGTAACTGGTTTGTGAGGGTTGACATGTGGCTTAGGAATGCAGAGGCATTGGGAACCGATGCAGTTCCTAGCTTTTTACCCATTGAGGATGCTGTGGAGAAGAATGATGATGAAGAATTGGCTGTTCCTGCTGATGATGACCAGAAATTTTGTGCATTATGTGGAGAGCCCTTTGATGATTTTTATAGTGATGAGACTGAGGAATGGATGTATAGGGGCGCTGTCTACATGAATGCACCAACTGGTTCAACAGCTGGAATGAACAGGTCCCAGTTAGGTCCCATAATACATTCTAAATGCAGGTCAGAGACCAGTGGTGCTTCTGCTGAAGTTTTGTCAAAAGATAGAGGGGTATACATCTTTTACCTTCTTTTCTGAATATGAAAGACATCTGTTTGTTGCTTGGTCAATATCATTGTCTAATGGGTTCTTTGATATTGGAAATGCTTAAAATCATGCGTGGGGCTCTCTGCTGGTGGTGGGGTGAGTAATTATGAATTTAAAGCAGTAACGTCTTGACAACTATGTACTCTACATCAACTTAATTTTTTGGGGTTTGCAAGGACTCCCTAGTTTAGGAGAGATTAACTGAAGTCAATGATAGGTAGCTTGCTTCCTGTATTTTCACATTAATCAATTTAAGGCTGTTGGAACTTATAGCGAGTGCCTTGTATTCTGGGTAGATTTTTGGTGGTATGCTTGTTGCTGCAATGTGAGTTATGGTTCTTAATTATGTCTTGCCTTTTGTCTTATGCAGGGTTATACTGGAGAGGGTAGTGAAAAGAAATGAATGTGGAGTTAGCCTTATTACATCACCATCTAGGTTTGCTGTAACATCATATAGAGTTGCTTCATCTTAATAATCTTCTCTTCCGCTTTTTATGTACTGTGCCAGAATTATGTAAATGTATAGTTGGATCTGTACCATCCACATTTTTTGCAGAAAAAGGTGACATGATTTTGTGATGCATTCTTTCTGGTATTCTTCTTTTCTTGTCTAGAATTTAGACGTCTTTAGCTTTTCTTGCATTTTGTCGTCTTTGGAGAACACACGATATTAAGTGCTTTCTAACGACTCAGATGTACCGAACTTTGGGAATGTAAAATTTTCTTGGCTCAGCTGTTTAATTGGCTTGAGGGGGAGGGTGGGGGATATAATCCAGTACTTCGTGCTGTTCAATTGGAGTTTTGCAGGGGGATGAACTTGGAGAATTTCCGTGTATGTCTTGGAGGTGGCTTCTCATTGTACTAAGCAAATCGATTTGCTGGAGGCAAACGAACAGTACTACCGTGGCTGCATCTTTCGTTCAAGTTATGGTGTCCTCCATTTAGCGATGTTCATTCTGATGTTAATTCAATGTAATACTTTATATCGACTCAGTGACCCCAAGTTGGGATCTTTAGTCTTATTATATGCTTAATGCAGCTAATTAGCAAAGATATCCCTTATTTTTGTTCAGGATGTGCACACACTTATGTTATGGCAAGCGGAGCTTTGACTGTGAAGTCTTTTTAAGTGTTCGATTATTTACATCTCCTGGAGACTTTCTGATTTTGGGTTTCATTCTGCTTTATGATTTATTCCTATGGGACTAAGTGGCCTGCCTCCCCGCATATTTCCATTCTGTTGTCCTCTTGTCCTGTAGCCTGCATGTGCTGCTTGCTGAGGAGGTTGGGGGAGCCCTCAAACTCCTCTAGGCTGTTGCAGTAGAAGCGGGATTGGATGGAGGATACCACAGCCATTCTTGTGTTTGTCTTGCCAGAATGTATGATACTTGGTCTCTGCCTTGTTTCTTTTTTAATTTGGCACAATATTGGCGTAGATAGGGTTATTTGAAGGTTTAACCAAAATATAACAGGTATAAAAAGATCTGACTTAATGGCAAGAGGTAAACAAAATGTTTACAGTAATACTAGCTTGAAAAAAGAACAAAAAGACTAATGTGATAGAAAACTGATTGCCGGCCGCGTTCTCTAGGAAAGATTTATGGCACTCGTCTAATTATGTCACACTGGTAGTCTTCCATTAAATGGCTCTGGTCACCCCATTTAACCAGTTAGCATGGCTTTGCCTGTTTTGAAAAGGACATTCAAATGGATGGAAAGTTGCTTTTCATTTATATGACTCATAAACTTAAAATGATTTGTGTTTGGATAGTACATTATTTGAGATTTTTTGTTGTTGTTATAACGATCCATAATCTATCTTATTCTACAAAGAGGGGGAGTCTAAAGAAACTGTACAAGGGGCTAGTAGGTTTACGGGTCCAACTAGATCAAAGGAGTGTTTAGTCACTTTCTTTAGATTTTTTTTACTGCAGGACAGGTGGGGTTCAAACCCTCGATTTATAGTCTAAAGAGGGACTTAATCCCCTTTTTGGTAGCCACTATAACTTTTTAAAAAACTTCTATAGCACATTTTTAATGTGATGTATATGATACAAAAAGGTAGTTGAAAAATTTGTTTACGATGCAAGTAAATAAAATTTGGTAAATAATCAAAATTTAAATAAAAAGTAGGAATTTGTAAGATAGGTACGAAAGAAATAAAAGGCAATGACGTAGAAAATATGATAGAGAGCAAAAACATTATTAGGGGGGAGAGAGAGGATTGTGACAAAGCAATAAATGTTTTATCTAATCAGGGAAATCATGCATTCTGATTATCAAGAATTAAATGTAGCATGTCATTTAATGAGATTAGTTAGCAAAATTTGCAAGATTTTGTGTTGAATTAGAGTTAAATATGACCCGAACGAATCATTGCAGCTGACCCGATTGAAATTTCAATCAAAATACAGAACTGTTCTTCTGCTTCCATTGGGTTTGAGGGCTTTGCCTGGACTAGAAATAAAACTGGTCGGTCCCAATCCGGGTTGGGTTTTAGTAAAACATTGCTTACAAGTTACAACCATGTCGATGGGTTGGATGGTTGGAGCTTTGTCCATGAAGCAGCCCATCTTCTCCACTCTCATCTAAGTACCCGTAGCAAAAGTGCCGGGTAATTTTTAGTGGATTAGACAGTAAAGCAAGATGGGAGGTTTTAAGTGGCCGCCATTTTGATTGCTTTGTTTGGGCTATGGTGGGGAAGGACTTCCGCACCAGAAAAATTTTGGAAGATTTGCTGCTGCAACATGTCTGCCGAGCCAAGGATGATATGGCCCCATTTTCAGATTTGGACTTGGCTCAGAAACTTTACCAGTTCCTGCAGTCCAAGAGATTCTTGATTGTTTTGGATGATGTCTGCTCTGCCGATGCTTGGGAGTGCCTCCGCATTGCACTTTTGTCTCAAAAACCAACCGCCAGCAGAGTGCTGCTCACCACTCGGGATGTCGGAGTTGCAGACAAGATTGCTTCTTCATCAGCCGACGACAAAGGATTCATTCACCGGATGAGATTTCTTAACCCACACGAAGGCTGGGAGCTTCTCCGCAAGATGGCTTTCAGAGCTCACTCTTCTTCTGATAAAGGCATCATTTCCAGAAAAAATCTTACCTCTCCTGGGCAGACCACATATCTTCTTGCTGGGTTCCAATTTGTCCATGAGGTCTTCATCGTTGCTATTAATTTGCAGAAGCATCTAGGTTTAGCAGAGCGCCTCGACATTCTTGTCTTCTTCTTCGGCTTCTTGGATTTGGGGCTGAAGATTTGGGGCTCCCAATTGAGTCTATTTTTTCCTCCATATAATTTTCCATTCGGTGATTGTTTGAGGAAAGAAATTAAAAGGAGAATACGGTCGCATAGTTGTTAGATAAAATTACCTTCGTATTTTGACACGTGTACTGCTAATTTCATAGATTAAGAGTAATTATCGACTAAATGGTCACGGATTTACTGATTAAGTTATTTAGTGGTCAATTATTGACGAAAAATAGTTTGATGGCCAAAACATGATCTGACAAATAGTTTAGTGGCCGCTGAGGTTTTTTACCCTTCTAATTATTTTCATCTTTGTTTGGATAGTCCTCAAATTTGTCTTTAAAGACTTAAAACTAGATTTTTGTAGGTTAGACATTTCTAGATTAAAAAAAATAAAATTACCATTTACTAATTATTCCCATTCCCCCCTTTACTTTGCAATTTGCTGATTGTTTCTGTGGCCATTAGCTTTGTGAAAATGTCAAACAGTTGCTCGCTCTCATGAACCTTTGAAATTGCTATATAAAAATGGAAAAAAATGGAAAAAGAAACACTAGTATAAAGGAGGCAAGAGTGAGGAGGAAGAAGGAGGGAGGAGAGAAGAAGGAAAAGGGTGGTGGTGGGTGGCTATAAGGTTTTATAAAATTTTAAAAGTATTCATTAAAATTTTAAATCATAATATATTTCAAAAACACTCCCAAAACACAGCTAATCCAAGCGAAGCCTAAGTTATTGGGTTAATGGCATCAATAGTTCACAAAGATTTTGCTCAATGCCATTTTGTATCCGTACTTTTTTTTATTTTCTATCTATTGAACCAGTCAACTAACTTTCCACGTATGATCTGCATATATTTTGACATATTTTGTCAAGTATTTGATCACGAAGATTTCTGTTTTGGATTTAAACTAGAGAAATTGAGCCATATATTTGTGGCTCACACCCGTTCTTCGTTATGCTTATAGACTGTTGCAGCATCTTTGTCTCCACGGCCGCTGCAATTAACGACCACCTTGGCTCCGTCTTCTAAACCGGGACAAAGTTTTTCGAGATAAGCAAGTGCATGAGAAGCTTCCAAGGCGGGGAATATTCCTTCTAATTGACAAAGTCTTCGATAAGCTGCAAACCAGTCAATTCGACACGCAAGTGATTGATCAGTTCTGTAATCAAATATAAATGCATAACGAAACGTAAAAAAAAATTAATGTTCTAATCTATATACTAACTAACGGTGTATGTGTGTATATATGTGTGTGTGTATTATCATCGTTGGATGCACGATAATTCGTTTGAATTAAAATTTGAAATTGAACACTTTTTTACCGTGTATCGTATATATTTAACCATGATACTGTATATAATATTAACTCAAATGTAAATAGATAGATATAAAATCATAATCCGAATTATTGCTACTCTATAATAAGATCGATATTACCATCTAAAGCTTCATCATCCGTGACTGCGTAAAATTCAGCACGTCCATTGTCCTTGAGAAAGCTCAATTCTGGGCTGACTCCTGGATATTCCAAGCTGCAAATTCGAATTTTGACAATTGGATTAGCACTTGAATATGAACCGCACATAAAGTCAGCGCAACAAATATGAAATATCAAGTGTTGTGAGGAATCTTACCCTACTCCAATGGAATGTGGTCCAATAATTTGGCCTTCCTCATCTTGCAACAAGTAGCTCATGCTCCCGTGGTAAACACCTACATCTCCTCTAGCCAAGGTTGCTGAATGTGCACCTGAATCTAATCCAACCCCAGCTGCCTCAACTCCAATCAATCTCACATCTTCATCTCTAATAAATTCATGGAACATCCCCAGTGCATTTGATCCACTCCCTACACAGGCCACCAGCACATCTGGCTTGCCACCCCACTTTTCTTCTGCCTGTTTTCTGGTTTCTTTTCCAATTACAGATTGGAATTCGCGAACGATGGTTGGACAGGGGTGAGGCCCTACGGCAGTGCCCGACAAGAAATAGCTCGTCTCCAGATCTCCTACCCAGTTCCGGATTGCTTCAGACATTGCATCCTTGAAGCTTCCATCCACAACTTTAACCTGTAGGTTTATGCACATGGATATATCAGGTTTGGCTTGCTGTCCTATTATGAGAACTGGCTGTTCGTGCTAAAAATCTTTCACGCTCAAGTACAAACAAGTCAAATTAATTCTGAAAAGGTATGTGTTTATTTGTTCCATTTTACACAAATCGATGAATAAAAAAAAAAATTACTAGTAAGAACATTTGGTTTGTTTGTTTGAGGACAATTACAATGCAGTTTTTAGTTAAAAGGTCTAGGATGAAATCATGAAAGAGTACAGCTGATGCTTTATAATTTTTTTTTTTTTACTACTTGCATCAAAGACGTGTTTTTTATTCACATTTTTATCATCCCATTTACCCTTTTTATCTCAATATGTCACATCAAAAAAAGTACCAAAATGTTATTTAAAAAAAAATTCCAAACTAATCTTCATTCCAAACACACTTTTAATATTTGTATATCTTTGTTTTAGTATACCAAAAGGAAACTTTGACTGATTCTACGTGTACTCCTAAATATAGAATTGATAATGACGTCCCTGTTATCTCATCCTTTTTAGCGGTTTCCAGCCAAATATACTCATTTCCGTCGATAATACTAGTAGGTTTTATATACCCCAGAAAATGACATTTAAAACCAATATATATATATATATATGAAATGCTCTCTAGTTTAGACTACTTTTTTTTTTCCCTTTTCTTTTGTAACCTTATTAGTTTCATACAACAAACATGACTAAAAATGAATCACTGCAAAGAAGACGTGTAATTTGTGGGGGTGGAGGCAATTCGAGTGGACATGGTATTTCCGTACCTGAGCACCAAGATTTTTTATCAGCAGCACATTCGCCCCCTGTCTTCCAACGTCTGCACTTCCCATGAATATCGTGCACTCAAGAGAAAGTTTAGCACATGCAGCAGCTGTGGCAACACCATGCTGACCGGCGCCGGTGGCTGCCACTATTCTTTTCCTGCCTATTCGCTTTGCAAGCATTGCTTGTGCTATGGCATTATTGATCTTGTGAGCTCCTGTATGCACAAGATCCTCCCTTTTCAAATAAATCTCTGGCCCTTTTCCTTCACTGTTTTTGTAATAGTCTGTCAGCCTCTTAGCAAAATACAGCGGACTTTCTCGGCCCACATAATCCCTCAATGCTGTTGCAAGCTCTTCCTGAAAGTAAAACAGAAAAAAAAAAATAAAAATCTAGTATTCATTATTACATTATTCTAGCTCAAACACTAAAACTTGTATACACCATTCATAGACAGTACCGGACAAACCTGAAAATTTTCGTCATGCAAAGCCAAGATGAATTCGGCTTCAAGCTTGCTCAAACAAGATATTAACGTCTCGGGCACAAACTTTCCCCCAAACCGTCCGAATTTTCCTGTACTAGAAACTGTCATCAGTTCAGCTTGGTCAATGAATGTCTGAGTCATTAACCGTCTAGTAGTTAGGGAATTGGAGTCAAGTGCACCCCCAACTGTTGCTGGCATTTTATCAGCTACTGCCGAGCAAGAAATAGGGGCACGGGGACGGTCAGCAGCCTTTATATATGGTGATCCTAATGGGGCACTAAAGGGTAGTCTTCTCAACTTCAGTACTGGTTCACTAAATTCTGTTGTATTTCCACCTTGTAGGAAAACATTCCGAGGACTGGATGCCATGATCATCTAGTTTATAAGGGGTGTATTCTTTTGCTCAAAAGAAGAGGAGAAATTCGTTCCACTGCCACTAGTTTGCATGGTTTTGGACTCCTTGGTGGAGCACTTATAAATACCGATTTCAACTGCAAACACCAGGCGGGCCTCCCTTTCTTATTAAATGAGATATTTCATGCTTCGTTTGCCTTGTTGATGTTACGTGGTACGCGAGTTCCATGTGATTATTAGCAACATCAACCGACCAGAGATCCTAATACTCTGCTTTTGTACGACTTTGACGCCTATATAATGCGATTTGTAATTGGCCACCTGTAGGACGAGGATTAGCATATTAGTTGTCACTCGTTTGAAACATGCAAAGTTGGGTTTTCCTAGATATATTATGTTGGATGTGGATATATTATATTGGCCACGAGTGCTCTTGAAAATTATGTTTGCCAAAAAAATAAAAAATAAAAAAGTGGCTAGCAGTTCCAATCAAATGAACTTTGGTCCATTATCTTTCTTTCCCAGATTTAAACTAAAAAAGCTAGCTAGCTCAATCCAATGAACTTTGTCATGACCTGTTGCTTTCTTTCCCAGAACTGAGAGCTTTTCTTGACGAGAACGAGGACCTACCAGTCCGTGTCTAGATCTAATGCATGCTGCCGACCATGAGATAAATACCAAACCTGTGCGTGGATGGATGGCTTGCCTTATCAACTAAACCTACTGCTGCTTGGGACCAATTGGACCAATTCAACAATTTCCTTGGCTTTTGATTGATATACTATTTTGATGTTATATGTGATTTGATCTTAATGATAAACAGCAAATTTTAGTATTTTTTTCTAATGTGTGGGTTGGTATTAAATTAATTAAATAATGTAGTAGATGAGGGACAATGATGAAATCATATTATTTTCTCTCTCCTAATATCATTTTTTAATTATTGATTGGGCCTAAAATAATTACAAGATAATTAACTTCAGAGGAGGTTTCTAAATTTATCCCTTTTTCTGATGCTCAGTTCAATTTCTTGGATTTTTTATTTTGATCTGATGGCTATGACTTATGTTACGATCCGAGTCCAAGAGTTAATCCAAGTAATTTTTGGACTGAAATTCATTAGTTTAAAATGGTTAATCCAAATTACAAAGTAGCCCATGAGCCCAAATTCTTAAACCAATTCCTTTCCACTTACTCTTTCTGATGTGACATACCTCATTCTTCCCATCTTTACGACTTTATGTCCTTGCAAAATCTCTCAGAATTCAGACTGTCCACTTGGTCATATTCGAATTTTAGAGGTGGCCTATACCGGCTCTAGAGGTGACCCCCGACTCAACGTGACACTTAGTTCCGTAGGTTCTAGAGATGGTCCCCATCAAACTCCTTGTGAGATATCTCATTTTTCTCATCTTTTAAATTTTATGTCATCGCAAAACTCGTATCGCAACCAGAAGTTCTGATACCACTTATTAAGGAGAAATATCTTAAGAGCATCTATCAAAGAGTCTAATATATAAGTTAAGAACCCAATTCTGATCCAAAAGGTTAAACTTTTAGGTTTCAGACCCTTACTTACATAATAACCGCCTTTTCTTTCTTCTTCGAGCTCACTTTCAATACTCAATACAAGCCCATCTTAACACTTAAGATCACCTTTTCTTCAAATTGTGGCCCTACTCTTTTTCAACATCCAAATTGGATTTTGAATTCTTGCCAATTCTTGGCTTCTTGATCTAACATTTATTGGACTCCCTGTCAAATTCATGGCACATATGATCCAATAGGAACCAAACTCCTTGACACCTCAATCCACCACCAAGAAGAGAGGTGGCACTGCTTGGTCATACTTGGACTCTAGAGATGGCCATCGCCTGACGTGGCACTTAGTTCCATAAGTTTTAGAGGTGGCCCCCATCAAACGTGGCACTTAGTTCCACACAGCACTTAACTCCTTGCACTTCCTGGCGTACGGACTTTAGAAGTGAATTATTTCAGTATTCAGATTTCAGAATTCAGATTCAGTTTTATTAAACGGAATATTAGTTTTGCTATATACGTGTCCTATACCGTCATGTTGAGGTGAGGTTTTGTGTTATACTAATTCTAGAAGTAACCGGACTATGCAAGCAAAGTCTAGGCCCATCTATAAAATTATGGTTAAAATTTATTACACTATAATTTGCTTTCAAATAAAAAGAAATTATAATTGTCAAAAAATGAGTCTAAAAAAGTTTATATATAGTGGAATGTTTCAAAAGTTTGCTCCAACTTGCTTATTGTGATGCAATGGAGACATATACTATATTGTATGGACAAACAACAGCAAAGAATTCAAAAACCAAACACATGAGAAATGTAAAACCAGTTCAATACTAACATAAATGATATATACTTCATAAAACTCAAGTATCATGCCATTATAATTACAAATGCATAAAATTTCACCATTATTTCTTTTTCAAACAAGATACCACCATCATGTAAAAATTTCTATCCTACAAATTCACAATAAAACTTGCAATAAAGTTGAATGAAAGGCTTTTCAATGCATAAAAAGGGTACAAAAATTCAACACACCAAGAACTAGTAAAGGAAGTGCAAGATTCAATTATGCATTAAAAAGGAACTAAAACATTAGAATTGCAAAAAATAAATTTTGCATTTAGATTTAAGACAAACCGCAGAAAAGGAAAATCGATTTGCAGAATCAAAATAATGGAAAGCTCAATCAATATCAAGGAAATCAAGCCAAAATAAATAAATACACCAAGGTAACAGAATAAAGAGGCAAAAAAAAGAAAAATGATAAAGGCTAAATAAAATACAGTTAATAAAAAAAAGTTAAGTCCATATTTGGGAATGTGAAACAAGGGAAGAATAGGAATAAAAAGAAAATGAAATATACCAGACAGTAGGAGTAGTGGAGGTAAATAGTCTATAGTCTATATTTCTCCTAAACAAAAAGATGATCATGATTTGATTTTGGAACAATGGAATAAAAGAAATATCCATTCCCGTGCAAGAAAAACATACATTCAATTACTTATAGAGGAAAAAGGAAAAAATGCATTGATTGAGCGGAATGAGGAAAGGCAGAGAATTAGGATGAAGGAAAAAAGAAAAAGAAAAAGCAAAATACTTAATTAAAAGGTTAAAGGATTAATCTTTCCTACACTGACAGTGTACACACTGTCAGCGTTGGATGAATGACAACCATGCAAAATTTGAATTTAAAATTTAACTTTTGCACACATGTCATGAATCAAACGGTGATAGTGTATATACTGTCAGTATATATAGGATTTACTCAAAGTTAAAATTGATGGAATAAGAAGTGACAATATAAATCAGTTGATTATTGCGACACCTCTCCAGGTCAATAATAATTATCTAAAAAAATAGTAAGAAAATAATCTTAGTATAATTAATTATAAAGAAAAAATTTGAAAGGGGAGATGAAGGTTAAAAGTAAAGACAGAAAAAGGAAAAAAAGAAGAATTGGAAGGAGAGATATTTATGACTTTTGACTAATAAAAAAAATGGTGGAGAAAAAATTCAACTACAATAAGAAACTGACACTTGTCAAAATAAGACACTATACACTTGAAAAAAAAAGAGGTTGCTACAGTAACCTCTCTTTCTTTTTATATACAAGGTAGATTTGGGTTGCCTCCAAAACAAAGGTGGTGATTCTGGTTTCCTTCCTTTTTACAGCCGCTTTATTTTCTTCATCTTTCCTGTGCCTTGACTAATTTGTGTTGTTCAAATCATGTGGGTTAAAATTCCAACAAATATCCCAATTAAGATCTATTCACTAGTAATAAAATATAGATAGAGCCTTTAATCTGATAATTAAGATTTAGATCTCAGGAATTAGAAATATTAAATTCAAGTCTCAGATCATGATCATAATCTGTGAGTTTAGCTGTAATTTATTGAATTGTAATGTCTACCATTTACTTTGTTTTTTTTTTTTTCTTCTTTGCCTTTTTTCTTTTGTTTCCAATACGAAAGCAAGCCTAATGCCATCACATTGCAAGATTTCTATGATGAGTTACCCCACCAAGTCTATTGTCGAGAGAGGTTTCACAACATCATGCGCATCCCAGAAAAAGATAAAAACTTGGAGCTTGAATACTTGTATATAAATACTTTTGATCTAATGATTAACGTTGAAATTCGAGAATTTAGAGGACCAACATTCTATTCCCTCTTCACCTTCTTCTCTTTTTAAATCCCAGTGCTTCTCTATTAAAAGAGAAAAAAAAATTATATAAAAATACTTTCCAAATTTAATTCTTAATCACTAGTTAACTAGTGTCTATTAGGGACATTAACATTATCTATATCAATAAAGAGTCAAATGAATAATTTATCCTTTTGCTTTCTAAGTGAATCAAAATTATGTTGAAGGAAGTAAACAAATTCTAGGTGTACCTTCCTTTCAAATATTACCAAAAACTGCAATAACGGAGAGAAAGGGTGAAGATGTTGTTGCCAGAAAATGCCACAAGGCACAGAAAAGGATACATTGTATTTGGGTTTTGCAACAATGGATTAATCTTGGAACAATACCAAAAATAAAAAGAAAAAAAATGATATATATTGTATTTCGGATTTTGATGGATCGTCTCCCTAATTCCCCATCAGAGTGGCGGGACTTCCCATTCTTGCACATGATTGCATCCCTAAGCGAGGCAAGACGGAGACTCAACAGACGCTAAGGCGCAGCCACAAATCTGTGGCCCATTATCGCTTCGATGTTATCAATCCATTTGGGCTACCAGACCACCACCTTATCCACCGAAATTAATATGCCAAAATTGCAATGATTTAGTGGGGAAAAGCAGTTGCTTGATAATTCCAAAAGGTAAACGACAGTTGATTTTTCTTAATTAATAGGGCAAATTATATTTTAGCTTCACGTGATTCTCGCAAAAATTACATTACCCCCCATAATTTAAAAAGTTATACATAAATTCACTGTAGTTTGGGTTGAAGTGTCAAATAGACAGAAAACACTCACCGTGACGATTCGTGGATTAAACGGGCTTCAACAACTGGTAACAATAAGAAACATTCCCATATGACCCTGACCATTTTATCGCACCCAATAAATAAAGCCTAGATCTCTGCTCCTCGTCTCTTTTCATCAACCGAAAGAGCTTTGTAGTTGACTTTCCATTGAATGTTGGTGAAGGCAATACATTTAACGGAGAAACCAAACCAGAAAGCCCAGAACATATCCATTGAGAAAAAATCAAAAGCGGTGGTGGCCGGAAAAGCTTTCGCTAGCAGTAGTAAGACGTGTAATTTGCATCAGCAGGGCCGTCATGAGTCAGCTTCAGCACCACAGGGGCGGCGGCCATGTAACCATCATAATTTCAAATAGGTTAGGCAAAGCCGCTTAGGCCACCACCCACCTCTCTCGTCTGTGCTGGATTTTAGATCTAACCAGACAATGACGCAATTCCGATTATAATTCGAACAACATTGAAGCTGGCTTCTTTTCATTTTCTTTTCCTTTTTAAAGTAACCTTTCTCAAGTAGTGTACTTCGCAAGTTTGAGATCGGCTGTAATTTGGGCAAATTGCAAATAATAAGGTAGTGATGTCATATTGCTAAGTTTCGGTAGACCAGAATTTGTGGGCAGGAAGAATTACGTGTACCACCTGCATCTGCTTGCTTTCCCACAGCCCACCATCGGTTGGATTGGTAAGGTGGTGCCAACCCTCCATTTTTCCGTCCTTTTCATCATCCTCTTCCTTCTTTACCTTCTACTGCTAGTACAGGTTGTCCCAAAGCAGCAAAATCTTAAATTAATCAACGCTTAAGCATTATAATCACTGATTTATTAAATTCCCAAAGCCCGACAGCTTCTATTCAAAATGCTCAAGTTCCATCTCATATGCTAAACTGATGTC